ATATGGTCTTGGAAACCAAAAAATTTATTTGACTCACTTTATTGTGATATTTACTTTACTGCAGTAGTCTAGAATTGCAACATCTCTGAGGTGTGCATGTAATGGAGGTTGACTTTATTTCATCAAGTACTTTCCATTTCTCATATTCTTCCTTCTGCCTTGAAATTTTGAGTTTCTATCTGCAGCATTCCCCTCAGGCTGAAGAACTTTCTTTAGAAGTTCTGGTGGGGGCAGTTCTGATGGCTACTATTACTCTTAATTTTTCTTTCTCTGAGAATATCTTCATTTGCCTTCAATATTGTGGAAGATTTTCTGGGTTGACAGTTTCTTTCTTTTATTCTTTAAAGGTATTGAGCTATGGTCATCTTCACAGTTCCTGTGTGAACTTCATAGTGTTTTAAATCATTCTTCCTTTACGTAGTATTCCATTTTTCTCTAAAGGCTTTCAGATTTCTCTTTATCTTTGGTTTTCAACAATTTGATTATGATGTTTCTAGGCATAGTTATTTTTGTATTTATTCTGCCTGGGGTTTGCGGAGCTTCTTGGATTTGTAAATTTATGTCTCTTAGGATGTTGGCTTTCCTCAAATATTTGGTAATTCTTGCTTTTGTGCTCATCTGTGTACTTGAGATTCTTTTTTTGTTTTGTTTATTTTTGTGTGGTGGCTTGTTGCACACTATCTCTGGTGGGGAGGATTAACACATGTGGCCACCGCCTGCCTTTTCTTTAGATGTATGAGGAAGGGGTGGGACATGCTGCTGAACAGGAAGAGCTAAGAGCTGGTGTTCTGGGTTTAAGAGCTTCCTGATTGTTCCAGGTTTCACCAGCCACATGGATGCTGGCCTATCAAACTGAAGGTCCTGTATATTCTTCCTATGGATAGATACCCCTGTTGCCATCATGGGTTGGGGGATGGGGAACTTCATTGGCTCACCTGCTCCTGCTGTGAGACTCTAATTACTTTGTGGTTTAGTCTGGACTCCTTCCTGCTCCTGATGGTCACCTCTAGTTGTGGAACACTTTTGGTGCTGCTATTACCTTTTGTAGCAGTTCTGTCTTGTTGTTTGGGGCTGTTAGTCCTTTCTTCTGTCCAATCCAGCTTCCTATCCATTTTTCAGGGAATTTTCATAAATTCCATCGACAGCTAACCTTCTTGTTTTCCAATGCATTTATGAATTCAATTTTTAAAAATATGTGTTTTCTGCCAGGTCTAGGGGTTTGTGGCATGAAGAGAAGGTTGTATTATGTGCCCACTCTGCCATTTTAAATCAAACTTGCTTTTCTTCTCCTTTTTTAAAAAGGAAGCTGTGGTGTCAACAGCTTGATTTAATTTTATAGTTAGGTAAAGGATGAACACAAGCAATTCCAAGAAAGGAACACTACAAATTCTTAGTCATTGTAAAGGGGAGAGAGAGTTTAGGGAGTTCACATTGTCCTGGTTATGAAATGATGCTAAGCTTGCCAAATTCATAGGTTTGCTTTCTCACAGGTTTCCTTGTTTCATGTAGGTTTTGAATTGCCTTAAAGTTATAGGTTCATTGGTGGATTCTTTCAAGCTTATACAGTTCTAAAGTTATATTCAAACACTACCATCTTGTGGGTCATTCCTTTTGTCTCCCCATCCCACCCTCAAATGCTCCCTCACACAAGTACAACCAGAAGGGTGGAGGTATGTCAACTTTTGTTAAGTGCTAAGAGGTCTCCTGAGAGCTTGACAGATATCTCATTTAAACTTCATAAAAACTTTATGCATCAACTATTATTAGTTACATGGTAGAGATGAGGAAACTGAGGCCTACACAGGTTATGTAACTTGCCTAAGGTCTCACATATGAAGAGGAGTAAAATTTTATATTCAGGTGGTATGCTTCTGGAGTCCCTGCTTTTACTGCATCCACACGTAAAATAATAAATTTAAGAATAATACAGTGTGACACAATAATATTAATAAGTTATCAAAGTTAAAGATGAGGGGATAACTGTTAGGAAGGGGCATCAGGGAAGTCTACACAGATTTTTAAGGAGGTAGCCTCCTCTACGTGAAGATTTGAAGGATAATCATTGCACAGGAAGAATGTAGCTGGGACCATATCCCCTGGATCTAATAGTAGAGAAACACCTTATTTGTCTGTTATTCTGCCTGCCCTGTACCCTGCATTCTTTGGGGGAGCTACTCATTACTCTGCTTCAAACATGACTCTCATAGAGGCTGTCAAGCTTTATAACCTTGACTCTGTGCCTAATCTGAGTCAATATGAACCCATCAGGGGCTCTGGAATTTTTGTGCTTAAGGCAGAGGGCACAGCACTGTGTTCCTAATGGAAAAGCTGAGGTGTGTGTCAGAAAGCTGCAGCGAGCCAAGTGTTTTCACATGGAAAATGGTCTGGAGCAGAAAACAGGGCCAAACCATAAGGTTCCAGTCATCTCTAGGCCAGCCGCACTGACCTTCCTACAGTAATAACTATTCTTGCAGAACCTCATTGGATTTGGGTTTTGATCCAACCATACAAGTTCTAACATTCTTACATTACCAGCTAAAGTAGGGGCAGCACTGCCTATATACAACTTGAATGACAGCACAATATATCTTGATTATGAAGAATAGCACTGTTAATTTATTTTGGAAAAATGGCATTTGGGAGTATTATAAGCTGTGTTGCTTAAAAACATTTCTGCAGTGCTCTATTCTGGCTTCATCTCAAACTCCATTCCTGATGCCTGGACCATTCTCCTACTTCTCTCCATTTACATCACTGCAGTCTTCTAAAGCCATCTCTGGATGTATTTCTTACTTTAAGTCTACTTCAGAAATTCTAGTCAATTTTTCTTTTGTGGTAAATTTTGATTTTTTAAATCAACATTTAATTATCGCAAAGAAAAATAAATTATAAAACTCAGAGATCGAAATTAAGAATCACCCCTAATTCCACCACACCAAGATAATCATTGGTATATATTACACTCTCTTCTTTCTTCTATGGTAAACACATACATGTTTAAAAGCCTCCCAAAATGGCTAATTATGATCTCTTCCTCCCCTAATATCATCTGCAATACATTTTTCATTTAATTGTATTTCATTTGCATTAATTCCTAATCATTTCAATAATTCTTGCAAATAACCAATATATTTGAAGGCATTCAGTTTTTTAGGGAAATTAGGAGCAATTCCACATCTTTTGGACTGGAATGTTCTTTCTTCCCTGCTTCATCTAGTTATTGCCTACTCATTCCTAGGATCATAGTTTGTGTCACTTCTTTGGGAAGTCAGATTAAATTGATAATATTCTTTGTAGTACTTGTATAGGTAGCAATCTATTCTTACGTTTGGGATTATCTGGGCTTGCCATTCTTGTTAAAATGAATGAATGACCGCTTGGAATAATTCTGCTACTATGGAAATACTTTTTTTTTTCTTTTAAGATTTTATTTGTAAGTAATCTCTACACCCAGCATGGGGCTTGAACTCACAAGCCCTGGATCAAGAGTCACACACTTTTCTGACTCACCCAGCCAGGTGCCCCTGGAAATACCTTTTGATTTATAAAAGTAAGATTTTTTATTCATGAAGTGCTAGGCACTCCATGTGCTGTATACCTGTATATAATTTTTCACAAATCTAAATGTATTTTTGCTTCTAAAATACTTTATTGCTTCTATTTTACAAACGAGGAAAGTACATCTTCAGGAAAGCTAATTAACTTGCCAAATAAAAGAGATCAATAAAAGATTTGAACTCAGGCCTATGCACTTATATACATTATTATCCTTACTTGCCATTACTGGTTTCTTTGTTCAGTAATATAAAAGTCATCATATATAGCTTATTTTCCAAATCACTTAATTTTTACATTACAAATTGGTTTTTGTTACATCAAAGTAGGCAACAGGGCACCTTGAAAAGGGGCAAAGAAACAGACCACTGTGTTGGGAAGGGCAGCAGGGGAGCTATTCTCCCTTTCCCTTTCCCTAACCAGCTGTATGGCTTTGCGCTTTTATAAGGAAGGCTACAAAGACAGTAAAGCTGAACTGGCGGCCCTTAAGAAGACAGGTATGGTGATTAACGTAACATAATAATAATAAAAAAATAAAAACTCTTTCTAATTGGGGAAAAAAAAAAAGAAGACACGTAGTCCAACGCTTTCGTTTTATAGATGAGAGAGGCTAAGTGGCTTGTATAATTGACAACGTGGCCGAGTTACAGCCAAATCCTAACGGCTAGCGTTGTTCTGAGTCAAACTACCCCTCCTTGAACATTTACTGAATGCCTACTGTATGAGGCATTTGGTTGCAGTGATACCCATTTGGTATACTAGTATTGATTTCCTCCTCCTCTTAATACTAATAAGTCCTCTCCCCCGTCCCCGCCCTTTTTTCTTCACTCCAGCACTTTTAAAACCGGCCTTGCATGCGGAGTTAAACGGGGAAAATCGTAGTGCAAGCCCGGCGTCAGACGCTGACTGACGTGACCCTGGTGGGCAGCAGGTCCCCGTAGCAATCTAGGAAGGCAGTGACGCCTTAGGACCAAGGGAGTGACTCTCAGACAACCCGGGTGTACGAGCGGGAAGGGAAGGGCGATGCTGCCAACGGGAGAACTTTTCTGTGCAAGTTGCCTACGCATTTGGCTTCTGCTGTATGGTGACCCAAGGCATTCGGCCAGGTCTCCAGCGCTCTCTCTCTCCACCCGGGTTTATCCGGAATTCCAAGTCTGCAGCTGACGTTTCTACCTAGGCCACGGCTGACCCTGAAAGGGACATCTCCACCACCGCTGTTGGCTGAGAGACTTCAGCGGCTGCGTTTCCCCGCCCCCGGCTTGCGCCCGTGGTCAGAAGGCCGGCAGGGTCAAGTTCCCTCAAGGCTCCCGGGAAAGGCCACAGCTTAGGTGTTGCCACGCGAGGCCTCCTGGGCAGACACCAGCCAATCCTCATGAGGCATACACGAGCCCCAGCCAATCAACGCCTGTCTTATTCCTGGGTTCCGCCCGCACCGGCCTTTTCTCCCTGCCCCCCTTCCCCGTGCCTGTAGTCGCGGCTGAATCTGCAGCCGCCTCCACAGCTGACCCGGGCCTGGGGACCGGCCTCTCCCTGGCACCGTTCGGTTTCTCCAGTTGTCTTCACTGAGGATGAGTCCCTGCGCAGCTGTGTGCTCGTCTCGCGGAGTACACCGGCGCACTTTCATCTAGCGACTGGTGAGGGAGTGCTTTGCGCGGCCTCAACGTGCGGAGTGGGCTGAGGCGACGGTGTCTCTTCAGCCGGGGGAGGGGGGGCGATGAGACAGTATTCAGTTTCTGGAGGGTGCGGGTGACCGGGACGCCAGTGGCGCGGATGGACCGCGGGGAGGGAACCCAGTGGCTCCGAGGCTGGCGCGCTTCGAGCGAGACGGCGCGTAGCGGGCCGACTGGCCGGGGTCCCAGCGTCCGCCGTCCTGCTGCCTCGCTCAGCTTATGAATGGTCTGTTCGGCGACGCGCTACGTTGCTGTCCTGCCCGACACGCCCTCCAGCGTTGTTGCCTTGCTAGTTTCAGTAGTTGTAGGTGTCACTTCACTTCGAGCTTTGAATTTGAAGCTGTTCGTTATCCCTTCGTTGGGGTCACATAGTTTTACTCCACTATGGGGATACTAACTCTGAAATTCTGTGTGAATTGACCAGTGTGTGAAAAGGGACCGGTTCTTTTTGGGGGTGGGGGGAACAGGATAGAGGCTTTTTATTATTGTATCACGTTGTCTGGTTTTAAAAAGTTTTAGTTCGGGGCACCTGGGTGGCTCAGTCGTTAAGCGTCTGACTTTGGCTCAGGTCATGATCCCGGGGTCCTGGGATCCAGCCCCGCATCGGGCTCCCTGCTCGGCGGGAAGCCTGCTTCTCTCTCTCCCACTCCCCCTGCTTGTGTTCTCTCTCTCACTGTGTCTCTCTGTCAAATAAATAAATAAAATATTAAAAAAAAAAAAAGTTTTAGTTCAACAGCAAAATAGCTAAGCCCGCACATCCTTGACTACTGTTCTCCAACATAGTTAATAAAACTTCCAAGATATCAGGAAGCAGAAATTGATGTAGCACTCCCCTCGCCCCCCTTCCCCCCATGCTTCGAAGTAGGGCGTTTGAAATTGGAAATGTATTAGAATTACTGAAAGAATGTGACTTTTATGAGTGGTAGTGTTTCTCCACCCATAATGTACCAATTCACATCCTTGCATAGCAACTTCTTGATCTTCTCTTTTTTTCTTTTTTGAATTCCCTGATTTTTATTGGTTTTAGAAACAGATTAGATGAGGGCAGAAAGGTCTGCTTTCCAAAAAGAATTTGTTACAGATATTTGCAGAAACTTTAGTCAAAGCAGAGTTTACCTCAAGAAATTTTAAAAAATGGCTGTTCCATTATTTAAATTAAAAAAAAAAAAACTTGTATTGAGGGTTCTTAGGATGCTAAATTCTGTGAAGGAACTTATTACATTCTTTTACTTTCATTATGCTTTAGGACAACAATATAAAGTTCAGTAGACCATAAATGAACTTACCTATCACATAAAGGAGCTCAGTATTACTTGGTTTATTATTATAAATGATATCAAAGTCAGTTTACCATTATTAATAGGTCAGTAATTTTTTGCTACATGTAGAAATGTGCTTGCCCCCTAAAATTTGCGGAATTTTTCTATTGTGAAACTGGGTATTGCACCGATAAAGTATTGAAGTTTCTATCTTTTGTACCAAGAGAGTATTTGAGATAATGTTTGACTAAAATACAATATTGATAAAGCAAAATTACTAATTTCCTAAAGAAGTAAGTGCATGTGTTTTAAAATTGTTATGTGAACTATTTTCAGGGTTTACAGAAGGAATTAAAAATTTTTTAAACTCAATTATGAGTTATAATTTGTAGCTTTGTGACAGTTAATATAGATACAAGTTTAAAAGGAAGGTATTTTGGTATTATTGCTTATACAAATAAATCTACTTATGGAATATATATTATTTTGTGAGAAATATGAAGAAATATGACATCCCTGTTCCCCCCCGCCCCGAGAACTTAAAATCTTTGTGTAGGCAAGGTACATACTAACGGGGCAAGTTATTATCATCAACTTTGCAGATGGTGAAATAGGATTAGGGAGATACTTGGCCAAGGTTTTAGGTAGTAGGAACCCAATTCTTATGACTACAAATAAGGGTAATTTTTTTGTACTACACTATTCTACTTCTCATTTTGAGAGAGCAATTTGGGTAGAATAGAATAGATAGAATCTAGAGTACACTTTTCTGTATTTTTAATTTTGGATAGGCTGCTTAAACTTTCAAGTAAATTTCCTCATTGTAAAATGAAGGTACTCATATATAAAGGGGCAATATGAGGCTGAAATTTGTTAGTTGTCCATATCAAAACTTAAATAATTTTTTTTAAAAGATTTTATTTATTTATTACAGGGAGAGAGAGAGAGCATGAGAGGGGAGAGGGTCAGAGGGAGAAGCAGACTCCCTGCTCTGTGGGACTCCATCCCAGGACCCTGGGATCATGACCTGAGCCAAAGGCAGATGCTTAACCGACTGAGCCACCCAGGCGCCCTATTTTTTTCTTTTAAAGAATTTTCATATCAAAATTTAAAAGATGATGGATACTCTATAACTAACTCATGGACACACTGGCAGTCTTGTAAGGGTTTGGGTGAAAAGCATTCTAAACAGAAAGGACTCTAATAAAGTTATGCCTTTTTCTGACCTGTGTACTAATATACTCCTTTCTCTGTCTCTCTTTTTTTTTAAACATTTGTTGGGTGCTTACATACGAATGAACTGTCTCATTTATTTTCAGAACAACTCAGGATATAAATAGTTGTTCCCACTTTTTCTAAGTGAGAGAATTGAAGCTTAGGAAATTGTGATGTGCCTAGGATCATTTAGTTAGTGGTGTACCTGGGTTCCTACCTCCGGTGTTCTGAATTTAAGAGTCTGAATTTTACATGCCACATGGTCTCCAGGCTTAATTGATATCCTCTTCCTGAAGTCACAGGCTAACCTTAACACATGAAATGTAGATGTTAGGCTTGGATTTGTCAGAGAATGGCACCATCAGATTTGTGTTTTAGGAAGATACCTAAACTCCTACCAAGGGTAAGTGGAACAATTATGAGTCGATGTTGAGGGCTCAACCTCTACTGGCTAACGCCTTTGTGGTGGGCCAGTGCCCAAGGTTGAACAATTGCCTATACTGCTACCGGTCAGTTGCCCATCAGCATTTCATATTCATCACATATAAAACAACTTTTCACCTTTAATTTTTATTTGTTGCTTTTTTAAAAGTTTGTTTTGTTTTTCTAATTTCCCAAGTATTTACCCCCTACTCTACCTATAATCAGGCTAGAAATTTGAGAGTTATCACCACATCTTGTCAATTCAAGAGCTTAAATATCTAAATGTGTCTCTGAATTGCTCACTTTCTTTATCCCTAAAGAAAGGCACAGAAAGCTGTTCATCATCTGGCCCATCCTTGTGTATATATTAGGCCTCGCTGTTTTCTTTCTTCTGAATTGGAATTTTCAGAATAGACTAAAATGATTCTGATGCTTTTATTTATATTTATTGTTCGCTCTGCCTTGAATGCCCACCCACCCTGAATTTATCAGGCAAACATGTCCTCATCGTAATGTGGGAAATCTTCCGTATCTCTCTCTTGTCAACTCCCTATTCCTATGAGTCACTTGTTTTATCTTTACCATAGGTTTATAATCATGTTTTTATTACTTGCTTAAATAAAATCAGTCTCCTCTATCAAACTGTGACCCTTTGACGGTAGAGACCATAATAGATAATAAATATTGTTCATTGAATACAGATGTTAAAAGAGCTATAGTTTCACTTCAGTATTATCCATGAATCTGTATTTTTATTATGTTATCTAAAATATTTATACCATATTTATTTTGTATTCCCAGTACCTTGTGACCTACTGAGGATGCACTGGAGAAGCGGTGTAGTATAGTAGAAATAGCTTGGACTTTGCTATTAAACAGATCTGTGCTTGAATTCTAACTCCTCTTTTATTGGTGCTATGATTACTTAACCTCTCTGATGTAAAATTTCCAGTATGTATTAGGTGCTTAATAAATATTTCCTTTGCTTTCTTTGCTTTCGGTGAGCATTTATTGAATGCATAAATAACATTTACACTGGTAATTGGAAATATGGGCCTGGAATTTAGGAAAGATGTGAGGGTAGAAGACGTATTTGGGGATTATGAGCATGTAGGTTACAGTTAAAAGCTAGAAAGAGATTGAAATTATCCAGGGAGAATATGAAGTGGAGAGGAAGAGAAGACTGAAGATGGAACATTGAGAGAACCCCAAAATTTGAAGGTAAGGGGAAGAGATAATGGCTTTGGAAGAAGGGGTGAGAGAGAGCCCATGCTTAAATGCTTCAGTAGTTCCCTATGCTTTCAGTATCCCTTCATAGATACCGTGGGAGAATGCGGTGTTAATGACTAAAAGCAGGGAAGTTAAGTAAGAACTGGAAGTATCTAAAAGTATTTGTAGGTTTGGAGGTCATTTTGGTAACCATAGTATGTATGGTTTAATTGGAGAAATATGCATGGAAACCAGGTAGCAGAGACAATGAAACTCAAACATGAATTTTGAGATTAAATTTGTTACCCTTTTGTTACTGAAGAAATAATAGTAATAAAAGCTACTGTTTGTTGAATGCCTGTTTTGTGCCAGGTACCAGGCTAAGCAATTTCATTTATCATTACAGTAACCCTGTGAAGTTGGTGACATTGTATCCGTTTTCAGATGAAGAAAAGAGAGATTATGTAATTTTTAAAGTTATGTAACTAGTAACAGCCGGCATTGCTATATTTGAATCCAAATATGTAAGACTCTAAGAAACACCAGCTCTTAGTCACTTCCATATTTATGTTCATAGTATTCTGTATGTTTCTCATATATTATAGTATGCTACCATTTTTACATTCATATTACCCTTTTTTTTCCATTTTAATTGTTTATGTATAGTAACAATTAGGGAATTTTCTTTGGTTATACCTTAATTCTTTCATGTAGTGTTTGAGTTATTTGCCAGTAAGTAGTTCTTTTCAGGTATTATGAATACACTGAAAATACAAAAGTGGAAAAATTTTAGAGCCTCAAAAGAATGAAATTAACTACAATTGACTATTTTGCCATGTATCTTGTTTTCCAGTTTTCACATTTTAAATTACTTGAGGCTTTGATACCTTTTTCTTTATGTCAGCTAACTAAGAAACACTTTGTTTTTTATACCAATCAACAGTTTAAGGTGGGGATGAATGTTATAAGGGTTATATCAAATTATAAAACATACAGACTAGTAGATACAACTGGAGCTAGAAAGGATTGGGAATCCTCTAATTCTGTGCTGTCACCTCTAGATGGGGAAGTCAGAATAGTGAAGAACTAGTTAGATTTAGGACTTCTGACTCAGTGTGGTTTGAAATGGGAGTTGAAAGTGCAGATTTGCAATGTTTCATATCTATCTATGGTGCACAGAAGTTTCCCCTACACATATAGTGAACTCATATATGTCCCTCTAAGTAGCCGCCTCATAACTTTTTCTTTGTCATTCAAAGTATATATTTAAAACTAGAAATGAAAAAAGTATTTTAGGGAATTTAAGTTTTATTTTTTAAAATTTATTCAATTTATTTAAAACAAACAAACCAGTTCATCCATTTCTTCCCTCCCACCCCCAGTCTGATATAAGAGAGTCATATGCTGTTGGCTTTCCTCTGACTTACTTCACTTGGCATAATGCCCTTGAGGTTCATCCATGTTGTTGCAAATGGCAAGAGTTCATCCTTTTTAATGGCTGAATAATATTCCATTGTGTGTGTGTGTGTGTGTGTGTGTGTGTGTGTGTGTCTGTGTGTGTCTGTGTATGTATAATATATGTATATATAACTTTTTTATCCATGTATCCATTGATGGACACTTAGGTTGTTTCCATAACTTGGCTGTTATAAATAATGCTGCTGTGAACATGGGGGTGCATATATCTTTTCGAGTTAGTGTTTTGTTTTATTTGGATAAATACCTGGAAGTGGACTTGCTGGATCATATGGTAGTTCTATTTTTAATTTTTTGGGGGAACCCCCATACTACTTTCCATAGTGGTTATATCAATTTACATTCCCACCAGTAATGTACAGGGGTTCCTTTTTCTCCACATCCTTGCCAACAGTAATTATTTCTTATTTTTTTGATAATAGCCATTCTAAAGGAGAAAGGTGATATATCATTGTGGTTTTGATTTGCATTTCCCTGATGATTAGTGATGTTGAACATTTTTTATGTACCTGTTGGGCATCTGTATGTCTTCTTTGGAAAATCTATGTAGATCTTTGGCCCATTTTTTTAATCAGATGGTTTATTTTTTTGCTCTTGAATTGTATGAATTCTTTGGATGTTTTATATAGGTTAGCCCTTTATTAGATGTATGATTTGCAAAAATTTTTCTCCCATTCTGTAGGTTGCTTTTTCATTGTTGATGGTTTCCTTTGCTGTCCAGAAGCTTTTTAATTTGATGTGGTACTACTTGTTTATTTTTGCTTTTGTTGCTTTTGATGTTGTTGTCAGATTAAAAAAATCATCTCCAAGACCTATATCAGGGAGCTTACTGCCTGTGTTTTCTTCTAGGAGTTTTATGGTTTCAGGTCTTACATTTAAGTCTTTAAACCATTTGAGTTAATTTTGGGGTATGGTTTAAGATAAGGGTCCAGTTTCATGCTTTTGCATCTGGCTGTCCAATTTTCCCAACACCATTTATTGAAGAGATTGTCCCCTTGCCATTGTATATTCTTGGTTCCTTTGTTATAAATCATATATGCATGGGTTTATTTCTGGGCTCTCTATTCTGTTCCATTGATCTAGGTGTTTCTTTGTATGCCAGTATCATACTGTTTTATTTACTACAGTTTTGTAATGTAGTTTGAAATCAGGGGGTGTGATGCTTCCACCTTTGTTCTACTTTCTCAAGATTGCTTTGGCTATTTGGGGTCTTTTGTGGTTTTAGGATTGTTTGTTCTATAAAGTATTTATGATCAATACCTTGGAGAAGAGAATTTACATAGAGTTTCTATTATAAAAGCTTTAAAATCTAACCATTATGAAATGGATTGACTAGTTATTTAAAATCCAGAGGACTAAAATAAAATAGAATAAAATCTAGAGTACAAAAATATTGAAAGAAAAATAATTAGGAGATGATAAATAAAAAGATGATGGAGAAATAGTCCATCTAGACCACTCTAGATATAAAATTTCTAATATATAGGTGGTTAGTTCTCTAACAGGAAGTAAAAAACCTGAAGAATAGTAGTTTATCAAATAGTTGACAAATTGTATTTCATTTCTCCAGATCTGAACAGGGCAAAGCAGACAGGGTAGCGTATTGGAAAAAAGGAAGTTAGAAGCTCTTATATGGTGGCTGAGTTTTCTATATTTTCCGACAGACTCTCTAATCAATATATTAGCATTTATTTATATTTTTTAGATATTTATTTTTGAATAGGTATTCATGCTCATGGTGAAGCATTCAAAAGTGGTTTGTAGTAAAATATAAGTAAGTATGCCTTCCATTTCTGTCTCCACTTATTGGTGCTCTTCTCCAGAGGAACCACTCTTAACCATTTTCTTATGTATTCTTTTAGACATCTTTCATGCATATTCAAGCACAAATGTGTAAATACATATACAATTTTTCCATAAATGGTATTATATATACATCTCATTTTAAAGGACATTGTACAATGTATCTTGCAGATTATTTCATATCAGAAAATATATAGCTGCTTCATTCTTTCTGATACATGAATAATATTCTGTTGCATGGACATAATTACTTCTAACTATTTAGTTTTTTTCCACGCTTTACTATTTAAAACAATGACTCATTGGATATTCTTGTACTTATGCCATTTCACACTGGATATGGTTTTCCAAGATAAATCCCTAGAAGTAAAATTGCTTGGGTCAGAAAAAAAGGTGTATTTTACATTTTTACAACTATACTAAATTGCTCTCCAAAGAGATTGTATGAGTTTATATGCACCAGCAATGGAGTAGAGTATGTATTTTCTTACAATCTTGTCAATACATAGTAACGTCAACCTTTTTGATCTCTGCTATTTTGATAGATAAAAAAATGGTATCTCATTATAGTTTTTTTAAAGTTTTTATTTTAATTCCAGTTAGTTAACATACAGTTTTATTTAAGTTTCACGTGTACAATGTAGTGATTCAACAATTCCATGAATCACCCTTTGCTCATCACAGACAAGTGCACTCCTTAATCCCCATCACTTATTTAACCCATCCCCTCTGCCACCTCCCCTCTGTTTGTTCTCTATAATTAGGAGTCTGTTTCTTGATTTGTCTCTCTCTTTTTTCCCTTTGCTCATTTGTTTTTTTCTTAAATTCCACACATGAGTGAAATCATACGGTATTCGTCTTTCTGTGACTGGCTTCAGCATTATATTCTCTAGCTCCATTCATGTTGTTGCATGGTATCTCATTATAATTTTAATTTACATTTCTTTTGAGTGAGGTGTGTCTCTTTTTAAAAATCTGTTTAAATTTCCTTTTTTTTTTTTTTTGAGAAATACCAAATTCTTTGAGTTTTATTCTGTTGGTCTCTTATTTGTAGAGACTATATGTTAAGGAAGCTTTTTCTCCTTTTTTGTCTTAAAATTTTTTTAATGTAGATTTTAAACTGATTAAATTTATTAATATTTTACAACTCTTGAATTTCAGATCATACTTAGAGAGGCCTTTTGTACTTTGAAATTATAAAAAAGAGTCTCCCATGCTCTCTTCTAGTGCTTTTATGGTATTATTTTTATGTTTGTCATTGACCCATCTGGAATTTATATTGGTGTAAGGTATAAAGTAAGTAAAGTTACTATTTTTTTTTTTTTCAGGTTGATACCTAGTTGTTTTGATACCTGGTATTTAATTATCATCTCCTCCTATGGTCCTATGGTGAAGGACTTTTCAGGCACAGAGAACATTATCACAGTGCCTGGCTCTTAGTAAAAACTGAATGATGAGAGGGTTGGTTTTTGTGGTGGTGGTGATGAAATGATTTTAGGGGGTAAAGGTTTGAGATGGGATTGCTATAAAGATGGTAGACTTAAGTGTGCTTATATCTTGTGGGGACATAGCTAGTAGAGTGTAAAAATACAAGAGAGAAGGAATGAAGCTTTTGGAAAGAAAGAGGTGGATTCCAGAGTACAGATACAGAGGTTAACTTTAAGCAGAATGGAAAAAAGGAGGTGAAGATGATTAGTATAGTTCTAGGATACTGTGGATGTGAAGGTGAAAAGTTGACATACTTTTATTTATCTTTTTGAAATAGGAATTAGGAGAACTTTATTTATTTTTAGGGGCACTTAAATATAGAGGTAGTTGTAAAGTACTTGAGGAGAACAAGAGGTAGATTTTGTATTTTTTACTTTCTCTTTCTTTCCCTTTTTTTTATAGGTCACCCTTGCAATTATGGATATTTAAAAGGATCAGACAGTGTGGAGGGGGAGTTCCCCTCCTCACTCCCCCTTGGTGCTTGACTCCAGGAATAATTTATAAACTGTGGAGAGTTTTTTTTTTTTTTTTTTAATAGAGAACTTGCATTTGATATAAACTTTATAGAACTATTTATAATTTTTTGATTTATGTGCCAAAATAAATTGTACAAAGATATATAGTTTTATACTCTTGCCATTGAGGATTTAAATTATAATCCTAAACAGGTCATTTATTCTCTATAAATCTTTCTGAATAGCACCTTTTGTCCTGGCTTTTTCATTTTTAAAAATTAATCTTAACTGACTACTCCGAAGAACTAAACTAAGCAGTATAAAAACAATTAGGATGAATTCTTCCATCCCTGACTGCACATCAAAGTGTCGATCCCTGAAGCATGCTTTGGATGTCCTTTCTGTGGTAACAAAGGGGAATGAAAACCAGATTAAGGCCTTTCTCTCCAGTTATTGTTACAATGCTGCAACTATCAAAGATGCTTTTGGCAGAAATGCCCTCCACCTTGTTTCCTCCTGTGGAAAGAAAGGAGTGTTAGATTGGCTTATTGAGAAAGGAGTGGATCTACTGGTGAAAGACAAGGAATCAGGATGGACAGCTTTGCACAGAAGCATTTTTTATGGACATATTGATTGTGTTTGGTCTCTATTGAAGGTAAGTGTCATTTGTTTATTTAAAACTATTTGTTCTGGCATATGCTTTTCTTAGTCTTTTTCAGACACCCCATTTATTTTCCAAAGATTTGAGTTTGTTCTTATCAGTTGTTTGATATCTTTTACTATTGTAACTGACTCATCTTTAGAATTCAAATCCATATATATTTTAATTTAGACTTGTTATGATGTAGAATTTTAAACATATACCAAAGTTTACAATACATAATGGACTGTTGGCTAATTATGTGTTATATATATCCCCACTGCCTTTGTTTATCTCACACTATTTTGAAGTAAATCCCACACATTTTATCATTTAATCCGTTTAACCTATCTTTTAGTATTCTTAAGAAAAATGGTTTACTTTTCTTTAACTTTTATTAGCTACTTTAAAAGGGCACTAGTTATTGAAATACAACATTTAAGGACTGTTTTGGATAGTATGCTTATTTCTTGTTTGGCTAGGATAAAGTGTTTATAGTTGTAAAAATAGTAATTAGAATCAGTTTAATTTATTTGAAATTTCCCATCAAGTAGATTCAATCTAGGTTTGTTGTACTGTATAGTCAAATAATGAAATGTTTTGAGATATACCCCAATGTCATTTCACTAATGAATGCACATTAAAAACTCAGAATCAGAAGTCATGAGTTTTAAATTGAATTTTTTTTTTTTTTTTTTTGTACAGGCATTTTATCATGTTTGTAGAGGACACAGAAAAGAACAAAACACTTCCTGTCCTCAAGGAACTTATGGTCACATTAGGGAGCTTATCTTCAGTGTCTTCATCTATTTTTGAGTTTAAAAAAGTTTACTAATAGTACTGTTAATTCCTCTTACATCTAAAACATTTGATTTAGATGGTTTAATTCTTTACTGTAATCTATTTTATACAGAAAGTTAGGTTGGTAAGAGTTAAAGCATCTTATCAGCTCTACTCTTACCCTTTCCCACATCTAAAACCTCAGCTTTTTTCCAGTTTCTGCTAGAAATTTGGATGACTCCAGTCCTATAAAGCTGGAGAGCATCCTTGGATTTTCTGTTGTCATAGGAGTTGACATTCAGGTGTCAGGATTTGGGGCTTCAGTTTGAAATAGGATCTGGTCTGAATTTTGGACCTTCCCTCCCTTTGGGGTTTCATTTCTCTTTAGAAATCCTCATTCTTTCCTCCTTGGATAAGAGAAGCCAGGAAATTTGTGCCTTCAGCCACCTTGCGCTTGGCTTGACTGTCTTTTATTATCATTGGAGCCCTATTGATCAATGATAGATATCTAACAGTGGATGCATTGCACTGATAAAATTTTCCCACAAAAACCTTTTCCTATCCATTTAGTATTCATGTCTCAACATGGTATATCCTTTTTTCTTTTGACCTTTCAACATCATTTAATTGGAAGAGCTGCAGTGATTGGAGTGTGCATGTCAGTTCCACTTCTGGACAACTGTAGCATATAAGGTATTATGACAACTATAGCCCTTAAGGTATTATGGTTGGCAGAGAGAGAGCATACACAAATACACATTTTATCTTTTTTTTTTTTTAAGATTTTATTTATTTATTTGACAGAGAGAGACACAGCGAGAGAGGGAACACAAGCAGGGGGACTGGGAGAGGGGGAAGCAGGCTTCCCACAGAGCGGGGAGCCTGATGTGGGCTTGATCCCAGCACCCTGGGATCATGACCCGAGCTGAAGGCAGACGCTTAACGACTGAGCCACCCAGGCGCCCCACAAATACACATTTTAAATAAATTGCATTTGATAACAACTTTATAGCTATAAGACTTTTTAATTGCCAAAACAAATTGTACAATAAATATACACCCGCACTGTCAGTTCCTGATTGCCAAAGATAAAAAAAACAAAAAACAAAAAAACAAAAACACAAAACCTCAGCAGAAACTACTTGTCTACCAAAAGCTGGAGGAGAGACAGCCTATCTTATGCATATCTTCTTTGGCTCCTTGGTTCCATGACAAGATGAGTGGCTGGCAAAGACTGTTTATGCTTGTAGTGTCCTGCTGTTTGTTATTGCTATGCCGTTGTTTTTTCATACTGGTGGTTTACTTACTATTCTGGAAAAACTTGCTTTAATTTTCTTCATTTATAAATAGAACTAACTTAATCATAAGATTGTATGGATTAAATGCTAAACTATTTGTAAAGTATTTGGAACAATTTTTTTTTTTTTTTTTTTGAGTGCCTGATGTGTGCCAAGCACTAATCTAGGTCCTAGGGATATGTAATGGACACGACAGACAGAGTCCTTTTTTTTTGTTTGAGTTTTTATTTTAGTAGAAGGAGATAGACTGAAACCAAATAATTAAATAAACAAATAGGACAATAAATGTTGGTGTATTAGACTTCTTATTTCATAGAAACAGAAGCTAACTAAGGTTCCCTAAGCAAAAAGCTATTTTATTAGAGGGATATCAGATACCTCACAGAATAGAACGAGTCATGAATAAGAGTAATACAATTAATTGTCAAATCATAAATAAGATAAATCTCCTCAAACTAAAATAGAAGAGTTATAAACTAAGTAGAACTGATCTGAAGTATCTGCCACCTCCCTGCCCCAGGATAATTAGATAGCCGGACCAGTTTATTAAAACTATTCCTAGTTTATAATGTTAAAACCATGTCATTTGAATATAAGAGAATGCTTATTTTTTTGTTTTCTCTAGTTATGAGGGCATCTAGCCAGTGTATCCAACAGTATTATCAAAGCTTTGAAGAATAGGCTTGAAAGAAGGAGAGTAGAATACATCCTGTCTTACCCCACTGGAAATTATAGTCTCAAGATAGTCTTTTTTAAAAAATTTTTTTATGATGTTAATCACCATACATTACATCATTAGTTTTTGATGTAGTGTTCATGATTCATTGTTTGCGTATAACACCCAGTGCTCCATTCAGTACATGCCCTCTTTAATACCCATCACCAGGCTACACCAGGCTAACCCATCCCCCCACCGCCCTCCCCTCTAGAACCCTCAGTTTGACGAACCACAAGAGACTATGGACTCTGAGAATCAAGATAGTCTTTTGATTCTGACTTTTTTGGCAGTATACGGGCAGCAATAGTGAGAGAGCCATATTAAACTCATTCAATTTAGCTCATAACCAGTTTGGAAAAATTAGTGTATCAGATACTTCTCTTGAACCACTTCATATAATTTTGGCCTCATCCCTTATTCTAGCCAGTTGTGTACAGGCTTCTAGCAGCTTTGTATAGGTATAAATCTGCAGCTTGTTTCTAGCATCTACTGCTTGCCTCTTTTATGTCCCAAAGCTTGGCATTCATGCATGACCAGCCAAAAGTATAGGAGAGTTAAATCCCTTTTAGAGCAACTCTTTGCTAATGAAGAATGGGAACTGGGGGTAAACCTTTACCCCTTTTATTCCTCAACTGGAGAATTACTCTGTGATATATTGTATAAGGTTCCCAGAATTTCCTGGCAGGATCGTGCACAAGCCTTAGCAATGGCCTACTTGATAACACATCCTTGTATTGGTTTTTCCTCCTTTTATTTACTCTTCTGGTCCTCACTTTCTAGGATCTCTTCCCAAGGAAATTACCTGCATGCCAGTCTTTATCTTACGCTTTGCTTTGGAGGAAGATAGTCAAAGCAAACAAAAACAGTTCTCTGTATTTGCAGACAGACCTATCCAGTAGTGTCATTAGTGGTTTGTAGTGGAATAGCTGTGTCTGAAGTGCATCTGCTCCTTGTTGTGGAGCATTCTCATGAAATGCTCAGGTTTATAAGCCTGGTAATACTTAGATGCTATTTAACAAGGTAATGACTTTACTATTTTGGGGATATGTAAAGAGTTGATCTTTAAATAAATAGGATAGACTACACACTGGTCCTGCAACCTTAGACTTTAAGATGAGTATATTAGAAAATGTCAGAGTCTACCGTATCTAGGGAGTTCTAATGGCCAAACAAATGTAGTCTTACGCAGTTGGGGCTACTTAGGATGATGCAAATATATGTGGTCTTACTTAATAGGGTCCAGTTGGTAAAGTTTAGGAAAATTTATAATTTATAAAAAATAAAAAAATTATAAAAAATTTATAAAACTGGCAAAATAAACTCTCTAGGGATCTCGGTTTCTGGGATCCCATTTGTCACCTTCATAGCTTGGAGCACTTTGTCCTGGAATCTGCCTTCATTTCTCTTAAAAGGTTAAACTCCTGGCTTCTCACATGGATTTATTATATCTAATTTTTTTAAAGTATTAGGTAACATATGATTTTAAATTTATCAAAATCTTAGATCACTTTTTTTTTTTTTTTTTTTTTTTTACTGGTTAGCTCGTTTGAGTATTTTTTGCTCATTGACAATTCTTGTGAAATCAAGTATTATAACCATCTGGAACATAATGAACTTAGAATTGGTTTTAGTTTGTTAGGAATCCATTGTTACAAGGTAAGAGGAGATTCTTCTTTCCTAAGTAACCTAAAACAGAGGATTCCAACATGTCACAGAGTTTAATAACTTCATAGTTCTCTGCCTGTAACTACCCAAGTGAACTGTGTACAGACAGGCAGTGATGACTTGCACAGATTAAAATAGAGGTAAGTCTAATTATTGAATGTCATATTAAACTATCAGCAAATACAAGAAGTTATTCTTTTTTTTAATTTAATTTTATTATGTTATCTTAATCACCATACATTACATCATTAGTTTTTGATGTAGTGTTCCATGATTCATTGTTTGCATATAACACCCAGTGCTCCATGCAGAACGTGCCCTCTTTAATACCATCACAGGCTAACCCATCCCCCCACCCCCCTCCCCTCTAGAACCCTCAGTTTGTTTCTTAGAGTCCATAGTCTCTCATGGTTCGTCTCCCCATCCGATTTCCCTCCTTCATTTTTCCCTTCCTACTATCTTCATTTTTTTTTTTTTTTTAAAGCATATAATGTATTATTTGTTTCAGAGGTACAGGTCTGTGATTCATCAGTCTTACACAATTCACAGTGCTCACCATAGCACATACCCTCCTCACTGTCACCCAGCCACCCCATCCCTCCCCACCACTCCAGCAACCCTCAGTTTGTCTCCTGAGATTAAGAATTCCTCATATTAGTGAGATCATATGATACATTTCTTTCTCTGATTGACTTATTTCACTTAGCATAATACCCTCTAGTTCCATCCACCCGTTGCAAATGGCAAGATTTCACTTTTTTTTGATGGCTGCATAATATTCCATCATATATATTATACCACATCTTCTTTATCCATTCATCTGTCGATGGACATCTTGGCTCTTTCCATAGTTTGGTTATAGTGGACACTCCTGCTATAAACATTGGGGTGCATGTACCCCTTTGGATCACTACATTTGTATCTTTGGGGTAAATACCCAGTAGTGCAATTGCTGGGTCGTAGGGTAGCTCTATTTTCAACTTTTTGAGGAACCGCCATACTGTTTTCCAGAGTGGCTGCACCAGCTTGCATTCCCACCAACAGTGTAGGAGGGTTCCCCTTTCTCCGCATCCCGCCAACATCTGTTGTTTCCTGACTTGTTAATTTTAGCCATTCTGACTGGTGTGAGGTACCAAAAGTTATTCTTGAAAAGGAGAACGTTTTATATTTAAAAACTGTAGTTAAGTAATAACAATATGAATTGAACATTGCTCTCTGTCCCTCCTGCCCCCCTTCCATTATATTTTAAAAGATAGAAAAGTATGGTGATAGGGATAGGGTGTCTAACTGCCTTAAATAAGTGGGACAGAAAATATTCTGTTTCATGTTTGATTTTGAACTGTGAAGATAGAAAGATTACTTTAAATTCATCCCTAAAACACATACACACACATTCTCAGGTTTTTTAAGGATACTGTTATTTATATGTGATTTATAAGAAGCCATAACTAAACAGTGCTATAAAAAATTTAAGTACAAAGATGAAAACTTATATCACACAAATAGAAATAAAGAACTGTAATTGTCTTTAATGTAAATACTGGATATAACAAAGTTCAAGGCAAGAAGAGATGGGCCCTACGTGATCACATTATATTTATAAATACTAAATTCTAATATAAGTACTGCTGTGCCATTACCTTGAAGTTCTTATAGCCCTTAACTGAACTAGACATGGAGCATGGCTTTTTAAATACGTAAAGTGTAGTGCACGCACAGGCACAGACAGACCCAGAGCTAGGTCCTTCTAGGCAGCCAGACTTGCCTTACCGTAGAAAATTTTCACATCTAGTTCATTTTGATTTTAAATGTTACTTATTTTATTTCCTCAGGTTTTCTGGTTCTTATTTTAAGAATTAGATATTTGATTTTTCTTAATTCTCTTGTGTGTGTGGAAAAAAATGTGGTGGGCATAGGAGGTAACTTGAAGACTTTTTTCGTATTTTTTTTTTTTTTTTTTTTAGCATGGTGTTAGTCTGTATATTCAAGACAAAGAAGGCTTGTCAGCTTTGGATCTTGTAATGAAGGATAGACCAACTCATGTAGTATTCAAAACTACTGGTAAGAAAATTCCATAAATATATTCCATTAAAGTACAGCTTAGAAAATTTTAATGAAACTTTGTTCTTATTAAAATACCTGAGAAAATTGATTTGTGTGTGGATATCTGCAAAGAACTTTTACCTTGGTGTGTGTTACCTTATAATTTTGGGTTTTTATTCAGAACACTGGTTTATTTTGCATTTTCAATTTCAATCTATACTATGTAAGAGTAAAAACACACCCTAAGTGGGAAGACAGAACTGTAACTACTGTAAAGTAATTAATGTGTGTCCAGAAATTAACATCAATACTTGAGGTAGAGGGGGAAAGGAAGTGATTCTTCTACCCTCACATCCTTCTGATTTTACTTATTTCTCTAATTTGTTTGCCTTTGAACTTGGAAAATGGAAATTGGTGGAAAAGGAGAAGAGTTTTAAATGGGGCCACTCTATAATTTGCATTTAAGTAGTGAGCAAGCTAAGTAAGGACACATTTTTCATTTTTATTTCTACTTTGGATACTGTATTGCAAGTTATAGTTATAATTCCATTCAGGGAATTTATATGCCTTCCAAAATAAAAATGAAGACTTAGATCATAACTTAGCTGTGATTAAGTTTTATCCCACTTTAAAATAGTTATTACCCTGATCACGAGTGTGATTTTTGCGTCTATAAGGAGCAAACTGTTGAAGTTAATGTTTCTGTAGGAACAGTAACTAATATCACATTTGTTTCATCTAGAACCCTTATATGTATGTATATAATATATAAATAATATTACTATATATATTATGTATCTCTTAGTAACATTCTGTATTTAAATAACTATAATTATTGTTTTCATGGAAACTAAGTGGATACGGCAGGTGGTATTTTACTCATTTGGCAGTTAAACTAGCTGCTAACGAAACAAGAAACAAGTGTTAGATTCCTAACATTGAGATAGCCCTGTGCTGATTTGGATTTTCTGGTTTCTGTTCCTAGAATTAGATAATATGTTAATAGTTTCATAATGTAAAAGATAATGTTGATATCATCTTTCTAAATATGCTGGTTAAATTAGTTCCTGTAAAGAGTCTGTGTTTGAGGTAAACTGATTAGTATATATATAATTGAATTCAACTGATATTTGTTTTAAAATATAAGAGTATAAAAATTAATTTACATTTTAGATCCTACAGATGTCTACACTTGGGGAGATAATACGAATTTCACCCTGGGTCATGGAAGCCAGAATAGCAAACATCATCCAGAGTTGGTGGATCTGTTCTCCCGGAGTGGGGTTTATATCAAGCAGGTATTTTGAAGTACAGTCTGAGTACTTTTAGAGATTAAAAAGAACTTTTGTGTTTGATAGTTTATCTTTTCATGTGGATTATGTTAACTTTGTTGAAGGGATAATAACACTTAGAAATCAACAGAACTTCACGAATTCTATTTTAGATTTTGTGTTAGCTTTAATCATATTTACATTGTGTTAAATACCATAAAACTATGAGATGTTTGTGCAAGCAGTGTTAGAAATTAGAAAGCCCTATAGAGATACTACTTTTAAAGGTAGAGCTTGTATACATTTTCTAGCATTTGTTTTCATTTCACAAAAATTAGAGTTCTTCATATTGTTTCTCAAGTGAATTTGTTGTTGAAACTCAGTGTTACTAGTTTTAGGTGAGCGAACCTGAGTTCTTAAATATAAGTAATTATAAAATTCTAGTTGGTACAATTGAAAAGTTTTGGTCTTTGGTCTTAGTTCATTATGTTGGATGATGTCTTCCACTTCCATAGATTTTGCTACTGTTGACATACTCATCTTTTTCCATAATGCAGTGTGTGTGCGTGTGTGTGTGTGTGTGTTCATCTGAGCTTAACTAGGTCCTTAGAGTCCTTAAAATGCTCTTCCACCCATTAGCAGCCACTAACGATTGATCACAGTTGGGGCACTTACTTAGAAAAGATTCCTGTTTTCCTTCTCTGAGTTAATCCATGATCTAGTCAACTTTCATGAGCTGAGCTTTTTCAGGAGCAAGGATTTTTAAACAAAAGTGAAAGAATAAATGGTAGCATTGGTAAACCAGAGACCTATTATACCTTCTGGTCCTCAGATATATGTGCTGTAGAGGAAATGAGCATTTTCATCCTTGGTTAGGATGAAATAGTACACTTATGGAGAAAGCTACACTTAAGGCAAGGAAGTGAGAATATTTTGTGAAGAGATTAAGGGTATAAGGAATTTTATTTACCACAGAATGAGGGTTGAAGCAAGCACTGTGGATAGGTTAGGAAAGAAAACTGTAAATAACATTTGGAAAAGAGAAGGCAAGTTTTATGGGAATATTTACTGAGCACCAGTTATATAGAGAGCCCCATTAGTCACTGAAATGGGCTGATTCTATACTGCTATGCGGAAGAAATTATTAATCTCAGCATAATATGTTCCAGAGAATTAAGATGAAAAGGCATAATCACTTATCTCCTTAAAAAATTGAGGTTTTAAGGTTGTAACACTTAAACTCTGCTATTGGTTGTTGAATATAAGTCAAATTATAGAATGGCATTCTAATATTGAATATAAAATTGAACAAAATGTATTATTTCTGGTTTCAAAAAATGATTTTTCCTTTACAGATTCTAAGTTTGTATTACAAATATGAATACAATTTTGGGTTTTATTTTTAGGTATTTGTGGTATAGTTAAATGAGATAATGACTTTTTATATTACTTATGATAAGTATATGTAGTCACAGAACTTACCAAGTAGTTAAAGGATATGTGTAAGTAGAGCTTGTAATTCAGCTTCTAATTTTGTTTTCCATAAGAACTTGTCTTTCTGGAAAATAATTCTGAGATTTCTTTATTTCGTAATCATTTTTTATATTCAAAGTTAGAAATATTTATAGATGACATAAGAAATGTAAATGTACATTTTTTTAAAAGTAAGAAAAAAGGATTTTTAAATAGTATTAAGATAAAATTAATATACTGAATATTAGATGCTTTGAAAAATAGCAGTGTGGTGTAGAGGTTAAGTATGTACGTACATGCAAACAGGCATACTTTGATTTATTGCACTTCCCTTTATTGGACTTCATAGACACTGTATTTATTACAAATTGAAGGTTTATGTCAGTCCTGCACTGAGTAGGTATTTCATTGCCATTTTTCCAATAGGATTTCCTTACTTTGTAACTCTGTAATTCTCTCAATATTTCAAACTTTTTCATTAGTATTATATAGTTGACCCTTGAAGAAAATGGGGTTTGGGGCACTTGACCCCTCCATGCAGTCAAAAATCCTTGCATAACTTCTGACTCTCCAAAAAATTAACTACTGTTGACTGGAAGTCTTACTGAGAACATAGTCAATTAGCACATACTTATGTGCATTATACACTGTATTCTTAGAATAAGGTAAACCAGAGAAAAGAAAATGTTATTAAGAAAGTTATAGAGAAAAGAGAATACATTTAAAGTACTATACTGTATTTACTGGAAAAAATCTGCATATAAGTGGATGCGCACTGAAGTTCAAACACGTGTTTCTCAGGAGTTAACTGTTTCTTCTGGTGATCTGTGATCAGTGATCTTTGATATTACTATTGTAATTGTTTTTGGGTACCACAAACTACATCCATATAAGATGGTGAACTTAACTGATGAATGTGTGTGTTCTCACTGCTCCACTGGCCATTGTTCCCCTATCTCTCTACCTCTTCTTGGGCCTCCTTAATTCCCTGAGACACAAATTATTGAAATTAGGCCTGTTAAGAACTCTGAAATGGCCTCTAAGTGTTTAAGTGAAAGGAAGAGTTGAATGCCTCCTCATTTTAAATTAAAAGCTAAAAATGATTAAGCCTAGTGAGAAAGGTAGAGATAGGCCAAACACTAGGTCTTTTGAACCAAAGAGTTAGCTAAGTTGTGAATTCAAAGGAAATGTTCTTGAAGGAAATGAAAGTGCTACTCCAGTGAACACACAAATGGTAAGAAGGTGAAACAGCCTTATTACTGGTATAGAGAAAGTCTTAGCGGTCTGGATAGAAGATCCAACCAACCACAACATTCTCTTCAGCCAAAACGTAATCCAGAGCAAGGCCCTAACTCTCTTCGATTCCATGAAGGCTGAGAGAGGTGAGGAAGTTGCAGAAAAGTTTGATGCTAGCAGAGGTTGGTTGGCTCATGAATTTTAAGGGAAGAAGCGGTCTCTGGAACATCAACGTGAAGGTGAAGCAACAGGTGCTGATGTGGAAGCTGCCGCAAGTTATCCCAAAGATCTAGCTAAGATCATTAATGTAGGCGGCTACACTAAACAAGATTTTCAATGTAGACAAACAGCTTTCTATTGGGAGAAGTCAGTGAGTGGCTTCAAGGCTTCAAAGGACAGGCTGACTGTCTTGTTAGGGCTTAATGCAGTTGGTAACTTGAAGCTGAAGCCAGTGTTCATTCACTTAACCAAACTAAAAATCCTAGGGTTCTTAAGAATAATGCTAAATCTCCTCTGCCTGTGCTCTAAAACTGGAACAACACCTGGATGACAGCACATCTGTTTACTGCATGGTTTACTGAATATATGTTTTAAGCCCACTGTTGAGACCTAGTGCTCAGAAAAATTGATTCTTTCAAAATGTTACTGCTCATTGATAATGCACCTGGTCACCCAAGAGCTTTGATAGACAGGTACAATGAAATTCATGTTATTTTCATGCCTGCTAACACAACATTTATTTTGTGGGCCATGGATCAAGGAGTCATTTTGACTTTCAAGTCTTATTATTTAAGAAATACATTTCATATGGCTATAGTTGTCATAGGTAGTGATTCCTCTTATGGATCTGGGCAAAATAAATTGAAAATCTTCTGGAAGGGATTCACCATTCCAGATGCCATGAACATTCATGATTCATGGAAAGAGGTCAAAATAGCAACATTAACAGGAGTTTAGAAGAAGTCGATTCCAGAGGAGCAAGATGGCAGAGGAGTAGGAGACCTAAATTTCATCTGGTCCCAGGAATTCAGCTAGATAGGAATCAAACCATGCTAAACACCTATGAACTCAACAGGAGATCGAAGAAAAGAATAGCGGCAACTCTGAACAGAAAAGCGACCACTTTCTGGAAGCAGGGACCCAACAAGCGGCATATCAGGGGAGACTCCCCTTCCTGCCCCGGGAGGAGGGGCGTGGGAGCGCACCACAGGAATCTGCTGGGTTTGGAGACCATACAGGGTCGTGAGCCAGAGATAGAAATGCTCGGTCACAGACCTGGTGAGCATGGAGTGCGGCCGGAGACTGGGGAGACGGGAGTGATTGCTTTTCTCTGGGGGGCGCACTGAGGAGTAGGGCCCCGAGTTCTTGGCTCCTCCAGGGTGGAGATTGGGAGGCCGCCATTTTCATTCTCGTCCTCCAAAGCTGTACGGAAAGCTTGTAGGGAACAAAAGCTCCCGAGAGCAAACCCGAGCAGATTACTTAGCCCACCCCAACAAGGGCGGGGCAATTCTGCCTCCGGCAAAGACATTTGAGAACCAGTGCAACAGGCCTCTCCCCCAGAAGATCAGCAGGAATAGCCAGCCAAGACCAAGTTTACCGATCAATGAGAACTGCAGAACTCCAGCACTAGGGGAATACTGCACATAGAATTCATGGCTTTTTCCCATGATTCTTTAGTCCTTCAAAGATAATTTTTTAAATTTTCTTTTTCTTTTTTTTTTTTTTGAATTTTTCTTTTTCCCTTTTTCAGCCAACATCTTACCCCTTTTTTAAAAATTCTTTTTTATTTTCCATTTCTAGAGTCATATTTTATCCCTTCATAGTAGTTA